TTATATATAAAGTAAAATATACATCATAACCCTGCATGTGATCACATGCCTACAGAAAAAATTCCTCCCTTCCCAGGACACTGACCAGAGTTGTCAAGCCAGACTTATAGCGGTCTTCACTGGTTCCTGGTGTCACCACATCATCTTCGGCACCTGGCATCGCAACGCCGCCTTCCATACCTGTAGTCTCAACGTCATCTTCTGGCTGGCCCGTGCTGGCTGAAGAAGAAAGATTGAGTCAGAGCTTAAGGTGGAAACCGCATAAGCAGACCGAACTTGCCGGCTACATTCGGATTATTTTCTTTTCCATTTCTTTTGGAAATTTTTGTTTTATTTTTGGGGTCCTTTTTCTGGCTTACTGTGGTGCCAGAAACCAAACCATTCTCCTTGTAGCACTTCTGGTCCATCAGCACCCTGGTTATCTCCCGTTGCAAAGCAAAGGAAAATGAAAACATTAAAAGGTAGAGCAGCCAGCGCCTCCCTGGGCCCCCACCAAGGTGGCCTGGACAGGGGACGTACATCTTTCCTTTTCAATAAGGAACCTGATTCTTCCTGGTGTCATTTCATATGATGAATTAATATATTCATCTAGACCTAAAAACTCTAAATTAGAGTCAACAGGAAAGATTTCTAAACATACCCCTTTGCAGATTCCATGCAAAACTGGGGTCTCCATCTGTTTATTGATTTTGTTCTTCTTTTCCCTTTCTTTCCAAATTAATTTTTTTTTTAAGAGACAGGGTCTCCCCTCCGTTGCTGAGGCTAGAGTGCAGTGGCACAATCCTAGCTCACTATAACCTAAAACTCCTGGGCTCAAGCGATCCTCCCACCTCAGTCTCCAAAGCAGCGGGGACTACAGGTGCTCACCACCACATCCAACTTCCATCTTTTAAAAATCAAACTCTCTCCATTTAATTTTGAGACTGCTGTTCACTTAGACAATTAGAACCACAGGCTCTGACCACAGACCTCATAGATTACATGGAGTTTTACCTCTTACTTTACAGTTGAGATTACTGTCTACAGGGGAGGGTCAGTAATCTGCTTAGGGATGCCAAGATGCCAATAGAACACTTAGTAACACCAAGAGCCAAACTAGCTGGGTGCAGTGGCTCACGCCTATAATCACAACACTTTGAGAGGCCAAGGTGGGTGGATCATTTGAGGTCAGGAATTTGAGACCAGCCTGGCCAACATGGTGAAACCCTGTCTCTACTAAAAATACAAAAATCAGCCCTTTGTGGTGGTGAACACCTGTAATCGTAGCTACTCGGGAGGCTAAGGCAGGAAAATTGCTGGAACCCAGGAAGCAGAGGTTTCAGTGAGCTGAGATTGCATCACTGCACTCCAGCCTGAACTCAATCTCAAAAAAAAAAAAACCACAGCCAAACTAATGAAGTGCCCCTGGCCCTGGCTTTTCTGCATTAACATTTGGACAAATGATGTGTCATGCCAACGAGAAAGGTTTCTGGGCCAGGCGTGGTGGCTCACGCCTATAATCTCAGCACTCTGGGAGGCCAAGGCGGGCGGATCACAAGGTCAAGAGATCGAGACCATCTTGGCTAACATGGTGAAACCCCGTCTCTACTAAAAGTACAAAAATTAGCTGAGCATGGGGGTGCACGCCTATAGTCACAGCTACTCGGGAGGCTGAGGCAGGAGAATCGCTTGAACCTGGGAGGCAGGGGTTGCAGTGAGCCCAGATCACACCACTGCACTCCAGCCTGGCGACCGAGCGGGACTCCGTCTCAAAGGAAAAAAAAAAAAGGTTTCTGGTGGAGCAGGGGATTGGAGTGGACTACCAGGTTGAATTCTACGATGAGAGACAGAGCAGATAACAACAGTATCCTCCTCTTCAACTTCCGTTGCAGTGATCCAAACCACTCATGACTATGCTCAACCATCATCTCTAAAAATCACCAAACCACCCTCTTCATGCATTAAAAATGTGACTCATTGGCCATGGGCTTCTTCCCTAGACTCCAGCGGTTCTGGAAATTCCATGACTAAACACTGTTGCAAAATACACGAGCATACACATCCCAGGAGCGAGGGGAGGGAGGTGCTTGGAGACTCCTTTGTGTAATTAAAGAGCAGATGTATGTTTGTCTCTAGGCAGCACTTCCATTAGCAATCCATTCCTTGCCTTAAGATACCTTATTCTCCCCACTGCTTAGACGGCCCAGCCAGAGGCACAGCTAATAAATATTTGATTATAGCTTCTTTGATGCCTAGAGGGAGGAAGCCTCTGAAGTAAGTTCACTTGTTCTATGAACCTGCTCTTTGATTCTAGAGTCCTAATCCAGTACAGATAGCTTTGGATGAGCTATCTCAAGATTTTAAACATTGTTTTTTAATCTGGGGTATACGGCAGGGGGTTTACTAGTTAGCAATAACTGAATATTTCCATGCACACAAATGGTTCGCCTCTCTTTGTGGCCTTTTGCGGGAGTAGGTGTAGAGGTAAGGCTTGGTGATTGCTTCCTACAAAAATGCATGACTTGCGGTATAAGCCAACATTTAGTGTATTTATATTGAGCTCAATGGCAAATATCCCTTTGCCAGACAAGTAGTCCTTGTTACAAAACGTATAGAGCTTCCCATTTTATTTTCTCCCTCCCCTGGTTTGAACTTAGTTAACAAATCATCAATTTTAAACATGTTTTCTGGAGCTGTTCAGTACAATCACTTACTTATTTGGTGTATCTAACTTAAAACAATCCTTGCTTTAAAAAAAATCAAGTGCTCAACGAAGTTAGTTTGAATTCTTTCATAGAAAGCTCAGTTCATTGAAAGCGTAACTTGATAAAAATTCCTTCTTGCTCTTTTCTACTCTTGGCCCCCAGAGCGGAGTACTAAAATCACTCTGAATGGACAAAAGGTGTTTTATGAATGACAGTCAGGATTAAGATGCATGTCTTTTGTCTTACCGCCCTGGCATTCTTTTTGCTCCACGGGAAAGTTGAACTTTAACAAGAGATCCCCAGTTGTCCCTCTTATTATCTTGGCTGAAGGCTTCCCTGGGTGAAGAGTTCCTACTAGGTCAGCTGGATGTTTCCAGCCAGCATCTGATGTTCTTTTCCCCGTCCTTGTGAAATTCAGATCATGTGCTGATGCCTTCACTTTCCAATCCTCTTTTCCCCAAGACACATGTGTGCATAGGCATACATACGCGCACACACACATACAAGGATGCACATATGTGCACACACACAATTGTTTCTACAAGCGTAGAGTGATGAATTTGCCATCATAAACCAGCACCCACAGCCTGGCTTACAAGTTCAGTTCTGGAGTGGTGTACCCGCATGCTCATACAAACACCCTTTCCTGCCACACCCAGCCTCAGCTGAACACGGCTCAGTGGAAGTTTCCAAATGCAGCAGCAACCAACCGATCCACTTATTTTGAAATTTGTCGTTGTTGTGATTCTTTTAAAAAGCTAGGCTGGGCTGGGTGCGGTGGCTCACGCCTATAATCCCAGCACTTTGGGAGGTGGAGATAGGTGGATCATGAGGTCAGGAGTTCAAGACCAGCCTGGCCAAGATGGTGAAACCCATCTCTATTAAAAATACAAAAAGTAGCCGGGCACAGTGGCAGGTGCCTGTAACCCCAACTACTTGGGAGGCTGAGGCAGGAGAATCACTTGAACCCGGGGGGGCGGAGGTTGCAGTGAGCTGAGATCATGCCACTGCACTCCAGCCTGGGCGGCAAAGTGAGACTCTGTCTCAAAAAAAAAAAAAAAA